ATATGCTGACTCTGTAAACCGCTTAGAGAGGGCTGAAAGCCCTATGAAGCGGTACATAAGTCTAACTGCTAAGTTCCTGCCCCACACATTTCATGGCGGTTTCCCATTACATATTGTAGCATTTAGAAGGACTAATTATATAAGCATGTTCTTTCAACTCCTTACCATGCTCAAGTCCAATATCCATTCTTGCAGCGTTAGAGCATACCATCCTGCCACAAATCTTACCTTTCAGGTTAAGATACGTACTACGTATTAAATAATGCAGGTGAAGGTGAGAAGGATGCTTGGTAGATCTGTGGCATAATCTGATTTTAATTGACGCAGTCACTTTATTGCGCTCTTCCCCTTTCCTTATCTGCAATCCTTTTGATATTCCACTGATTTCAATCATCTTTAAGCTTCACGTCTACATACATTATTCATCAGGAGATGACTGAACTAATCAGTCTAGAATTATTAATTAACAAATTGCTTTTATTTGTTCAGTCAAAATGCCCTCAGGATTCCCAAGAAAGCACACCCCCCGGCCCCCAGAATCACTCTATAAGTCTCCTAAAGGCTATTCATACCCTTTTTTAAAAAATGGGCCCATTTTCACACAAAAAAACGGGCCATTTTGGGGAGATTTGGGGAGTGCAAAAACTTTTTTTTAAATTTGCCTCTTCAAAATCTTGGTGCGTCTTATATTCTGGTGAGTCTTATACTCCTAAATATGGTATATATTCACCTATACAAGCTGAGTTTCCAAAGCTTTCTTTACAAGCTTACTTTACAAGCTTTCGACTCCAAAATCTACCAGTCCCAGCTTGAATGCCCACAGTTAACGGGGATAACAGATTTTGTAGCCTAACACCACAGCAGAGCCACTTTTTCTGTTCCTCAATTAAAACCAGCCCCACTCTGTGAGAATTTCTCACAAACTCCATCTACTCCAATAAAGAAACTTTAATTGTCAATGAAGCACATTAATCCACTAGAAAATGTTTGGGTAAGATCCTGGACATGTGAGCATCTGAAAAGAAACACGGAGGAAGGCTTAGTTCTAAATATGGAGAATGGAGGAACAACGGCCAGAAATGCAATATAAATGGGGAAGAACAAATCATACAGTGAAGGATACATGACTGTGTAAGGCAAAGCATGCTTCATTTTGCCATTGAAATGCAGAACAAGCAGGCAAAGAATGATATCTGAAAGAAAACAAAACGAAAACTCATTACTGCATGATTGAGAAAAACGAAAGAATGGGGGAATAATAAAGGAGGAACAAATCCTACCTTGCACAATCATGAGGGGATATTCTATATATGTTAGTGGAGGATGACGGTAGTAACTCATGTATCTCAGGCAAACAAGGAAACTGGAAAAGAAAGCATAACTTTAATCGATGGGGCCAATTCAAACGCCCAGCCATCTTAGAGCAAGCTTTTATTATTCTTTCTCTTCCTCCATGGGCCTCATTTCACACCAAATAATTCCTCAATTTTTAAACAAGTTACCGCAATATTCAGACCAAACCAATTAAGTTTACAGGCATCTCCAAACCAAAGGCACAAAGGCAGAATTTGATCTTCTGAAGGCAGTCAAACAAGAGGCATTGTATTTAATTATCTATCTATCTATCTATCTATCTATCTATCTATCTATCTATCAATCAATCAATCAATCATCTATCTATCTATCCATCTATCCATCCATCCATCCATCCATCCATCTTTTAAATGTATATACCACCTAAACTCACTCTGAACAGTGACTCTGAGTTGCTTTCAATTAAAATAATAAATATTAAAAACATTCAACATTTTTAAAAAGGCAGGAGAGAGAGAAGGAAGCAGGCCAAGAGCTGTCAAGTCAGGGACTGGGATCTTACCCAGTGGTGAAATTTATTTTTTTTAACTACTGGTTCTGTGGGTGTG